AAAAAATCAAAAAAAAAAACAAAAAATCAAAAAATTCAAAACTTCACAGAATGGCTTAGAATACTTGTGGTCATCCACTTTGAGTGAAATTTAAATTTTTTTAGGTGCCGAAAAAAATAAAAAAATAAAAAATTTCAAAACTTCACAGAATAGCTTAAAATACATGTGGCCACCCACTTTGGGTGAAATTTAAATTTTTTATATGCCAAAAAAAATAAAAATAAGCAAAAAATTAAAAATTTCAAAACTTTACAGAATGGCTTAAAATATCTGTGGCCACCCACTTTGAACGAAATTTTATTTTTTTAGATGCCGAAAAAAATAAAAAAAAGAAAAAAATTTCAAAACTTCACAAAATGGCTTAGAATACCGGTGGCCATCCACTTTAATGAAATTTAAATTTTTTAGGTGCTTGAAAAAATAAAAAAATAAAAAACTTCACATAATTGCTTAGAATACCCGTGCCACCCACTTTGAGTGAAATTTAATTTTTTTAGGTGTCGAAAAAAAAATAAAAATAAGCAAAAAGAAAAATTTTCAAAACTTCGCAGAGTGGCTTAGAATACATGTGGCCATCCACTTTGAGTGAAATTTAATTTTCTTTAGGAACCAAAAAAAATAAAAAAAAATAAAAAATACCATTTGGGCATCTAAAAAAAATTAAATTTTACTCAAAGTGGGTGGCTAGAGGTATTGTAAGTCATTTTGTGAAGTTTTGAAATTTTTGATTTTTTATGTTTTTTTCACCTAAAAAATTTAAATTTCACTCAAAGTGGATGGCCACATGTATTCTAAGTCATTCGTGAAGTTTTGAAATTTTTGATTTTTACTTTTTTTTCACCTCCAAAATTAAAATTTCACTCAAAGTGAGTGGCCAGTGTATTCTAAGCCATTCTGTAAAGTTTTGAAATTTTTGAGTTTTTGAATTTTTTGGGCACCTTAAAAAATTTAAATTTCACTTAAAGTGGGTGGCCACATGTATTCTAAACTATTCTGTGAAGTTTTGAAATTTTTGATTTTTTGATTTTTTTTGGGCACCTAAAAAATTTTAAATTTCACTAAAAATGGGTGGCCACAGGTATTCTAAGCAATTTTGTGAAGTTTTGAAATTTTTTATTTCTTGATTTTTTTTTGAAAAAATTCAACAAATTTCCTATTTTCCCGAAATCTAAATTTTTTTTTATTTTCTCGAAATTTTGATGATTTTTTCTGGAATTTTTCAATTTTTTGGGATTTTCTGAATTTTTTTAAAGATTTTTATGAATTTTTCGGATTTTTTATTCCATTTCTAAAAAAATGAATTTTTGTTCCTGGAAATAGAATTTTCTGTTGTTTATCAAACGGGTTTTTATTTCGGGAAATAGAAATTTTGTCTTTGTTATCAAACGGGTTTGTTGCAGAAATAGAAATTTTTTGTCATTATCAAACGGGTTTTTTTTCTCAGAAACTCATCCAGGAACCAGAAATAGAAAAATTTATTTCTGGTTCAGGAACTCATTCCGGAACAGAATGGTTATCATTCGCTACTTGCTGTAAATTGAGATGTCTTCGAAATTCGAGGCCCAAACCGGGAAAGGTAGGCCCAATCAACAAATCATATCCGTTCACCTCACCAGCGGCAGCGAACGCGGTTTTCCAGTTCATCTACTCCGACTGCGACCGGAGCGTTGAATACTTCGAAGCTTCAAAGCTGCTGGTGCAGCCGGTGCTTCTTCTCCTCTCTCGCCGGACGTTCTCGCGGGAGGAAAACCCGGATCGCTCCGCTCGCTGGGCCCTCTCCGATCCCGAAGAAGCTGGAGGGTCGAACATCGCCATGGCGGTGCCATGGGGTACGACTCTGTGGGTGGCGAGGCTGGTGTGGGTAGCCCTCCGGGGCTGGCTCTCCTCCTGCCTCACCGTCGCCGACGACGTCGCCTCCTCCATCCGCACCGGCGACATCGGCCCTTTCCACGTCGGCTGATCCCGGCTCCGCGGGAGCGATCTCTGGTTCGTCTCGCTTATTCCTTTCTTTCTAGTCAAGCTCGTGCGGTCGTCTCTGCTGTCTGAGTTCGTGTTCGTCGGTTTCTGGTCGAGCCGGACCGGCGACTTCCTCGTTAACTCAGCGCTCGAATCATCATCATCATGATCATTTCAACGAGCTATGCGTGTGAACTGTGCAGGATGCGCTTTGAGTAATTTTGGTGTTAAGGATGAATTTTGCGCGGTGTCGTCAATGCTAGTGGTATCGCATTAGTCGTTCCTGTAATTATTTGCTCGATCATTGGAATCTTATCTCGAGCTGATTGCGATTATATCTCCATTTTCCCGGTGGTAAAAGTGGGAGGATAGTCTCCTCTTTAGACTTTAGGGGTTGGAGTGGTAAAGGAATGTGTTTGGAGCGGAATGAGAAACTGGAGATCGCCTCCATTTGCCGGCCCCGGTGAAGACACAATTCAGCATTCCTGTCATCAAGCAAGGCCATTTTTTTTCTCTTTGATTATCACAGTATCCATACAAAAGGGTCCAAACAAATGGAGAATGAAAGACTGCCATAGAATAAGAACCGAGTATGCTCTTGCGCATATTATGTAGACAATTCTTTTCTCAGCTGAGGGATCAAATGGGGGAATAAGGTGGTTAGTACAGATTCTGGTTTGCTAAATCTAAAATATATTAGGTAGCGTAGATGTAATGCGACTCAGTGAGAAACAGTCTCGGCTGATTGTGATCACGAGGGAGGATGTTCTTGTTGAAATGATTGAAGGAAATGAAAAAGATGGAAGAAAAAGGATAGGCCCTGAGATTTTACCTAAAGTACACATTGCCTAAGCGAGCGGTTCGGGCTTTAACGTTCCTTAAGAGAGGCTGACACCTAGCTTTGACTGTCAATTGCAACTCTGAACATTTGCTTGCAGTTCGTTGGTGTTGTATAAATCTACTTGAGAACCTTGTTCACATGGTGAGCACACTACAAGGTGATGCTTGCCTTTTTCAACCTTGTGAATATTTGCCGACCGTCGGGAGCCTATATTAGCCAGTAAACACAGGAAACAAAGTGAGGCATTGAGAGTTTTAAATTTTCACAACTCTACAGTGGAAAGTCTTGAGGACTGGGTCATTGATTGGTAATCAAACAGTTCATATGACATGCTTCTGGAAAAAAAAAGGAAGAGTTGCCGTGCAAGTTAATTGCCTAAAGTGGTTCTGCTTTTGGTGCTTTTAATGTGTCAAGGATTGGTTTTCTATGGGCCTAATCTACATCTGTAACTAAGAGTATTAGTCCCCAGTCCTTTTAATTTTGCCCTGACATTCCCTTTTCATTTACTTCATCTCTTCTCTTGGAGGAATACACGTATTTTGAAAAGATTTACTTATTGCTCTAGTTAAGTGCAGTAGTCCTCTGGCCATGTCTAAATGGATAGAGTTACTGGTTTGCACAAAATGAGTGTACTATAAGGATTACAAGTCTTCTTTATCCGTGCCCAAAAAGATTTGCTCACACCCCGAAAGTCTCTGACTATGATGTTGCAAACTGAGGCCTTTGTTAGAATTTTGCTTGTGGATTAGAAAGAAAAAACTGTTCTTTATTTGGTTCTGCAGCAGAGTTTTATGTTTTCAGCATGTAGCTGATATTCTACTCTGATTTTGCAGATTAAACTGAATAAAAAAGACGACAATATGCCGTATGAATTTGGATAAGTGCAATGCCGTGGACTTCAGAGAATTACTTTGCCCGTAGCTCTGTAAAGTGGGTGCGGTTGAGATTGAAAGCAGTTGACAAGTGACTTTTAATTGGATAGGTGTGATATATTTTGATTGTGTTGGTTCAGTTGGCTGGTGGTGTAACTGGTTCTGTTATAGCTCTGTTCTTGCGTTTCATCAAGCCATCAGATGTTGCTTAAGCACTTGGCATCTTCAAAATTGAAGGGTGCTCTGTACGATGGGGCCCTCTATCTGATGTGGCCCCATGGGCAGAGGACAAAGTTTTTGATTGTACACGGGTGAGATTTTGATGAATTCTGGAAGTTTGATCATCTTTGATCTCCACCTTATTCTACTATGTACCTCTTCCCTTTGAGTTTGATATCTCCATTTCCCTCTTAAGCTGACGATAGTTTTCTTTTGACATTTTGGTTTCCTTTCTATGATACAAAAAGGAGAACTATATATACGAACCGTGAAATGCTTTGTTCACTGTTTATATATTTGCACATGGTATCATGTTGTCTGCTGTGAATCATGGGCTCATCCATCGTCTCTGTGATCCTGATTTTGTGCGTTTATACATTCCTCGAAATCAAGAGTAAAAGATTTCATAAAACGAATGTTATATCAAGCAAAAGATTATCTTTTAGGAGCAGACATTAGCAGTTGATTACTGTGCTTAATACCTGGACCTGCATTTTCGCAATGTGAATGCGTGACTAGCAAATTTGAAGGACTATTGCCTAATTCGTGACAATTTGAAAGGAAAGTGAGCCAGAGTGTGGCAAAGGATTGCACGAGTAGAAGTTAATGACCGAAACAATTCGATAATACATTCTCCACCGCCTTCTGACCTTTCCGGTCTGTCAAATGTCGATGTTTTCTCTGAGATCGAATGCGACTTCATACGTGTTGTCACGTGGTTATAACATGCAGCTTTCCCCAATTGCCAAGGAGATGACAACTATCCGTCACCATCATATGACCAGTGCACCATATGCCCCATTACATCAAAGCTTGTTTGCTTTCAAAGTTGGGGGTGTGGGGGCTCTCATCATCACAGAAAGATAAGAACCATCCTTTATCACCAACGACCAGGACAACGCCCCGGATAAAAGATCAAGCTGGTGTCTTGCGTTCTTATTGGGCACTTTGGACCAATTTGTCACATGATTATGCACACAAAAGTGCAGGTCTCTTCCGATTGGAAGAATCACAGCACGTTTTATTTTTTTGGCTTTTGTGGGCATCTGCACCAAATCGTCAAGAGTAGCTGTGAAGTTCATTATAGTTGGGTGACAACCATTTCTGTTCAAACTGAGAGCTATGTGTAACCTACCAATGGCGACATAACCACAATAACTACCTAAGAGAAGACAAATTCCCTTAGGAATCCTCCAACCTAATTAAATAACATACATTCAAGCCATCATTTGCACATACTGTGTACTTGGGTTGCTTCGACTCCGATCTAGAGGGTCTCATTCGATTAATGGAAACACCTAATAGAACAGACCAAAATCCAATTCCCCTGTTTACAAAAACCTTCCAGAACAAAACCTTAGAAGCACATTCCAATCTAGCAAGCTTTCTGGGGAGTGCCCATACCCAACTTCAGCAATGATTCAAGCAAACTCCAATAACCGCATTATTAATGTCTACCAGCTTTAGTTTATCATCCTCCTTCAACGATTCTTGAGAGGTCCCTCTCACCAACAATTCACCATCTCTCCCCACTCTCTGCAGACTCTTCTAAGCCTCACACTAGCACTGATGCTCTCCCAATGCTTCTCTCTCTAGAAGCAAGCACAGCTCAGAAGAACCAGAAATTGCAGTGAGAGAACCAAAAGGCATAATTGAGAGAGAGAGAGAGAGAGAGAGAGAGAGAGAGAGAGAGAGAGAGAGAGAGAGAGAGCAAGAAAAAAAGAAGGTAGACACTATACCATTTCTGGCAACCATTCATGGGATGCATTGTCTCAAGATCCAACACTCCCACCGCCACACACCCTGAAATCCCCCATTTCTCTCCGTTTGATTCTGCATTTTCTCCATATTCTTCACCATCACCAGCCAAAGCAAGAACTGTTTCTCTTGCAACTCCTCTTGTCCACCACCCGCCAATCAAGAAAGGTGACACCCACCATTTGGTCTCTCTGACATCCAGCACCTATGGTTCTCTCCTCCTCATTGACCCCCAGAACACCAGATTGAACATCCAGAATCTGTCTGAGCAGAAGCATTTACCACCTCCTCAGACTCCCCAAAAAATGGCTGAGCCTCAAACTCATGTGGAAGATTCGAATGACGCCCCATCACCGGATTCCGTCATCAACACCTGGGAGCTCATGGATGGTCTAGATGACTGCGATTACGATGGTGAGAACTTCAGGATGTCTGCTTCTTCCATTTCATGCAAGGCTTCAGATTGCAATGGCTATGAGAAGAAAACAGTTAACTCCACAAAATCGTATGAAATTCCAGCTAAGATCAGTGGCAATCGTGAAATGACAGTCGGTCCAATGGTGGGATTCAAGGATCATTCTCCCCCATCCAACGACAAAAATTCTTCATTAGGCAGAGAAGATAGGGTAGTTCTGTACTTCACCAGCTTGAGAGGAATCAGAAAGACTTACGAGGACTGTCGTGCCGTCAGAATGATATTCAGGGGCTTGAGAGTGGCTTTAGATGAGAGGGACATTTCAATGGACTCTTCCTACAAAAAGGAATTGCAAAGCAAGCTCAAAGGCAAGGCACCGAGTCTGCCTCAGGTCTTCATAAGAGAAAACCACATTGGCGGTGCGGAGGAGATCAGGCAGCTCAATGAAAATGGAGAATTGGCGAAGCTTTTGGAGGGATTCGAAGCGAGTGATGTCGGGTTCATTTGCAAGACATGCGGGGAAGCAAGGTTCGTGCCCTGCCCTAGTTGTAGTGGGAGCAGGAAGGTGTTCGATAAGGACGACAAAAGATTCAGAAGGTGCATGGATTGCAATGAGAATGGATTGATTCACTGCCCTAGCTGCTGCTCCTGAAAGCCGAATTCTGGAATCTTTTACTATTGCAAGACCAGCAACTTTCTTGTGCTATAACATCCATGCCAACGAGTTCCTCCAGATGGGGTTCCTTTTCTTCGAAAAGTTGCTGTTTCGAACTGTCTTATCTGCATTAGTTTCTTTCCTCCATGAATAAAAGTGAAATAAAGGAAAGATTCTTTGTGTTCATGATGAATGTTATTTCACATTCTTACTCCTTTCTTTCCTGGGACTGCACTGCTTTCTTTGCCGATGTCTCCATGGACAGCTTGAATTGATCACGTATATAGGTCAACCATGCATCCTTGTTCACCTTTTCTTTTCGACTGTCTTGCTTTAGTTGCCTAGCGAGAAAACTGTAAATCTTCCATGCTCACAGCTATGGGACAAGTTAATAGGTTTATGAACCAAAACAGGGAAATGCTTGATGTTCTTTTTCTGCCCTCCTCTTGAACCGTTTGAAATCAACATTCAACACATGCAAGCAGTTGCAGCTCAGCACTTCCAGACTCCGGAGAACTCAAAGAAGGCCAGGCTGCTTTTGCACCAGTTGCCGGGCTGCATCGAATGAATGCGATGTCAATTCCCTCTGCAATGGAAAATTGATTCGCGCCGTAAATCGCCATAGGCCTATCGCTTCTACAAGAGCAAACTGAACAAGCGAGTATCCTTCAGACTTTTGTTCTCAGAATCAGTTATTCCTCTAACCACTTTCTCAGGATTCAAACTTCCTATTGTTCTTCGTTCGCCCAACTGGCGCCGAGAAGTAACTGATTTTCATCAGCAAAAAGAGAACAGGTGCCGAAAGCCGAGCCGGCGTCGTTAAATATCATCTTTTCAAGTTGTTGCGATATTTAGACAATATAAATATTAGGAATCTAGCGCGCTAGCATGTAATTATCTGCAGTACAGAATATAACATTCAGCCGTCAGTTAAATGAACTGAAGGTTCTCAAGCATTACATCAAGACCGCATGTTAATCAGTACTTATTTCACCGCCACAGAGTACAAGGGAAATTCTATCTTCACTTGAAAACAGAGGTCCGAACATAATGAGACATTAATGGCCAGGACACCTGTGGCTCGTGGAATCCACACATGAATATCTTCAGTCGTGGTCATTATCATTATCACAGCCTTAATTCTACCGTGCCCCGTTCGATATTTAACTCAAATTTTTTTTTGAATATGTTCATTGCAAATCCTAAAACTTATCACAAAAATACAATTTAGTCTTAAAAATTTCAAAAAATGCATTTAAGTCCTAAGATTTATCATGAAAATGCAATCGAGTCATAAAACTTTCAAAAAGTACAATCAAGACCTAAAACTTGTCAAATTGATCCAATCAAGTCCCTTCATTAACTAAACTTTTTGAAAGTTTTAGGACTCGATTGCATTTTCGTAACAAGTTTTAGGATTTCATTTCGCTTTTCGAAAATTTTAGGATTAAATTGTACTTTTTTAACAAGTTTTAGAACTTTCAGTGCACTTATCCTTTTTGTTTGTGGGGAAAAGATTTCTAAGGCAAGATCGACATCGACGGCCTGCGAGCATTTTCGTAAGCTTATGAGACCCTTTCAATCTAGGAATGTTTGATTTGACAAAATTACTCGATACCGCCACGGAAGACAATAAAGCATGTAAACGAGCCTATCTTAATAGCTCCACCAACGTGTTAGCAGCTCGTCACTCTCTCTAGATGAAACGCAGCAAAGCTATGAGCACAAAATCTCCAAAGATTTGCCTATGACATGTTCCGAATTTTCGACCTCGAGAAATACAGAATGGGCACGAGACCACTTAGCTTAGCATTGAGCCAACCATGCTACATGGTGTCTTAATAAAATATTGAGAAATTGATACAAATAATCTTGAACTTTGATTCAACGTACAATGTGATCCTTGAACATTTAATTTGTTCAATGTGATACCTGAACTATAGCCTAATATGCAATGTGATCCCTAAACTTTCAATTTGTTCAACGCGGTTCCTGAATTTTTGGTACATATTCAATTTAATTCCTAAACTATATAAAATTGTTCAATGTTGTCCTTTCATTATCAAACAAGTACTAAAAATTTAGGGATCACATTATACGTTAGGCTAAAGTTCAAGGATTACATTGAACAAATTAAAAGTTCAGATATCACATTACATATTAAACCATGAAACTATTTGTGTCATTCACCTTAAAATATTTTACTGCTCGCAGGTTTTATCCAAATTTATGTAGACTCTGTTACCGAGTAAGACCCACCTCTCTTCTCGTCGCCGCGGACGGACCACACAAGCATTACCTTTGCAAAATCTCTTGGCTGTGCTCTTTCCCACTTCCGTTTCTGGCCTCCCAAATTGCCACGCTTCGTCCTCGCAACAATCTCTCTCTATCTCTCTGCGAATTTGCGGCTTGGTAAGTCATAGCACCCAAAAGCTTTTGTCCATGATGAGCTAGTTTTAGTTGAGAATACTACAAGAAAATGGCAAGACCCTCTTGTTCTGTTCTTGCAATTGTCCTCCGCTGTAGTTTCGGTTGTTCTGTAAGACTTGTGTTGGTTCCGCGATAAGGGGTCTGTTCTTTATAAGGAAGCGGTTCGGGGATTGGGTCTTTTGGGTCAGAATTGGATTTGCTTCTTGTAGGGCACCTGAAGATATGAATAGGAAGTTGATGGATACTGTGCTGAAAACGCATAATCAGCATGGGTCCTTGCGCCCAGTTTGTGGGTTCTCAGAAACTGTTAGCATTTTGAGCTCATCAAAGCTTCAAAACCAGGAGCTCAGGCTTAGTTCGAGGAAGGGTCATTTGAGAAGGGCTAAGAATGGGTGTATTAAGGCAAGCAGTACTGCTCTTTTGGAGCTTGTCCCAGAAACCAAGAAGGAAAACCTCGATTTCGAGCTTCCCATGTATGACCCATCGAAGGGCCTCGTGGTGGACCTAGCCGTGGTGGGAGGTGGCCCTGCGGGGCTCGCCGTGGCTCAGCAAGTGTCGGAGGCGGGACTCACGGTTTGCTCCATTGACCCATCCCCCAAGTTGATTTGGCCCAATAATTATGGCGTGTGGGTGGATGAGTTTGAAGCCATGGACTTGCTGGATTGCCTAGACACTACCTGGTCCGGGGCAGTCGTGTTCATTAATGACCAAACGAAGAAGGATCTTGGAAGGCCTTATGGCCGAGTTAATAGGAAGCAACTCAAGTCCAAGATGCTCCAGAAATGCATATCGAATAGTGTTAAGTTTCACCAAGCCAAAGTGATCAAAGTCATTCATGAAGAGGCCAAGTCTTTGATCATATGCAATGACGGTGTCACAATCCAAGCCACAGTGGTTCTTGATGCCACTGGTTTCTCCAGATGTCTCGTTCAATATGAAAAACCCTACAATCCCGGTTACCAAGTGGCATATGGGATACTGGCAGAAGTGGAAGAACATCCCTTTGATGTGGATAAGATGGTTTTCATGGACTGGAGAGACTCGCACCTAAAGGGTGATATGGAATTGAAAGAACGAAATAGCAAGATCCCCACTTTTTTGTACGCCATGCCATTCTCTTCGAACAGGATATTTCTGGAAGAAACTTCCCTAGTAGCTCGGCCTGGATTAGCAATGGAAGATATTCAGCAAAGAATGGTGGCTAGATTAAAGCACCTGGGGATAAAGGTGAAGGCCATCGAAGAAGATGAGAGATGCATCATCCCAATGGGTGGGCCCCTTCCTGTGCTCCCTCAGAGAGTTGTTGGCATAGGTGGTACAGCTGGAATGGTGCATCCTTCCACGGGTTATATGGTGGCGAGAACGCTAGCAGCAGCTCCAATCGTCGCAAATTCCATAGTAAGTTATCTTGGTTCCGACGGGGGTGTTTCAGGCAATGAATTATCCGCAAAGGTTTGGAAAAATTTGTGGCCCATAGAAAGGAGGAGACAGAGGGAGTTCTTCTGCTTTGGTATGGATATTTTGCTTAAGCTCGATTTACCGGGTACGAGGAGATTTTTCAATGCATTTTTCGATCTAGAACCTCATCACTGGCACGGGTTCTTGTCGTCTAGATTGTTTCTGCCAGAACTCATTTTTTTCGGACTCTCGTTGTTTTCACATGCTTCCAGTACGTCAAGGGTAGAGATTATGGCGAAGGGAACGTTACCGCTGGTAAAAATGATGGGCAATTTGATACAGGACAGAGAATTCGATGACTAGAGTCTAGATTTAGTGCAATCTTTGCTGTATGCTTCGATGTGCGCACACACAAATCTTCATGTTAACTTACAGGTACTGCAGAACATGTCAATATGAGTACCACGACCGAGCTATTAGACTAGCTGATATTCACATTTGATCACACTTTCAGTGTAATATTTTTTTCCTTTGTAAGACAGAGGTGCTCTCCAGTATCCAGAGGTTCATGGATTAATAATAGTGAATATCTGTGTAGTGGAGCTTCTGTATCGCTTTGGTACTATGATAGAAATGTTCACTGGCTAATCATCTATCTTCTGCATTCCCATGATGTTATGTTATGCTTAGCAGGTTATAGCTGAATAACAGTATCTGTAGAGTGTGTTTTTTGTGTATACAACTCAAGACTAAAAGGGTCTGCTAAAACTTGTGCTTTGCACAAACTAGTCGAACCGATACAGAAAGACTGAGGGACCGCATCTTGATCCTGCAGTTGTGTCTGATGGATATTCCTTGTCGCCGGATTGTCTCTTGAGGTTCTTTCGTTGATTAACTTCAAACTCGACAAGACAGAAATTTACCCGACTTTGCGAAGTTAAAGATTGTTTGCATTCGCCACAAAATGTCTATTATTTCATGACAATGAGCAGGCTGTGTTATATTTTAGATGTTACTGCTTTTTGGGTTGAATTTTGTGATCTCATTTTGATAATTAGACAGGTATTGATGGATGATGAGTGATGTTTGGGCTGTGGATGATCGACGTGATGCTCGTGCCTAGGCCAAAATGTCAAATTAGCATTTACTCCCATCCTTTGCACAAATTTTGCATTATGGTCAATTTTGAGAAGAAATGATCTGTATCCAATCTGCTACTCTGAGATTTCAACGTAATCGTCGACGGGTAATTTTTAAATTAAAAGAAATCATAATAAATTGGTCGTTGTTCACTCACAATATTCAATAAATGATTGCTTCTAGGATGAATTTACCTTTTCACATTCCTCTGTTTTGGT